GTGGATCACTCACCTGGAGCCTTAGTGTTTGCTTAAATAAGTCCAGATTTTGCAGCAGGTGCTCCAGACCTGTGGAGGTCAGGTAAGATTCCCTCAGCAGACAGTGTGCTTTCTGAACTCAGACATATTGTGGTCTAAGGGGAACATTGCACAGTCCCAGGTATTAGCAATGAGTGTGTCTGGAGAAGGGAGCGGGGACGAGATTGCTCCCATGTTATGGCATACGCGGTGACTGTCCTGTGTGGGGAGGGCAGTGTTCTGTGGTTCATTGTGACATGCTGCCAGCATCCCACAGTCTGGCCTTGTCTCTAAAGCAGTCTATGGGGTATTGTCTTTGTCTTGGAATATGCTTGGAGGCAAGAGTACTTTCTATGGCTTGGTCATATGCCAGGTCATGGAGAAAGCTGCCAGTGGAGGAACATCTGGAGGACTAAGCAGCTCATTGTCCCACCCACACAGTACTCCTGCATTCAGGCTCATCCTTGCGCATGTACCTGGCTCAGGCACAGATAGCTTCGTGTCATTAGCCTCTATAAGGAGTTCACAAATAGGATGCAAAGTCCATTTTTCAGGCCCCTAAATAAGCCACCAGGCTTAGCAAAACACTGAGTACCCAGAACCTCCCTCTGGAGTCAGGGCCTGACTTTTGGATGCCCATTTCTGCAAATCTGGCTCAGCACCTCCAAGGCTTTGTGGTCAGCAAGAACAGTTGAACCAACTTTAAGTCCTGGCCTTCCATACCAGCTGTTCCACAGCCACAGGTATCTTCACCTACACTCCACACTGTTGACAAACCTCCTTCTGACGTAGCCCTGTAAGGCTCTATCAACCTCTCAGCACTTCCGTCAACTCGTTGTTGCTTATATACGAGACTGTAAAGTCCTTATCATAGAAGCTCTTAACTCTCCTCTCTGTCTAAGCCAGTGGTTCTCAACCCTTTTAGACTCAAGGTGTCCCTTGCCAGACTCAGGGTACCTCTCCATCATTTTTGTGAATCGTGCAGTACCTCATTTTATAAACTAATTTATTTTTTACAGGATTTACTTCCTTGCAGGGGTGCAGGCAGCGGGGTGGGGAAGTAGCTAGGCAAAGAGTCCAAACCTGCACTTATCTGCTTATCTCTGTAGCACTCTTCAAAGGATCTCACAGCACCCCAGGGTGCCGTGGCACCCTGGTTAAGATTAATTGGTCTAAGCTTTGACCTAACCCTGGTGCCAAATCATTTAGGTCACCAGTAGGCAACTTTTTCTTGCTGTGGGCCAAAATGGGTCAGAGAAGGGGGGGCAGGTGCTCTGACCCATCTGCAGCCAGCACTTCTTCCTGTGGCAGTACAGGAAGAGCACACCCAGCTGAAGTCCCCTGTTGTTGAATGCCACTGAAGCCCCAGTGGCTTCATGGGCTGGATCCAGGCTGCAGGTTGCCAGCCCCTAATTTAGATCATTCAATGGTAACTGTCAGTGTGAAGCAGATCTCTGTTCTGGGGTTATTTAAGTGTTATGGGTTTGCAGGGCTTGGAAGTCTCAGAGCATGTTCTGCCAGTGCCAAAGAGACATATGCAGCATGTCTCTGAAGTGCCTTTATCTCTGAGAGATGCAGGGTGAATACCTGGGGTTCTAACTGAGCTCCATCACCTTTGATTAACTCTAGTTTCTCAGCTGCACAATGCCAGCCCTCAAAGGAAGGTGGAAAGGTGCCTTGCTAACAACTATAGTTCCTTGAGTAGCTTATCCATACAGCTCCTCCTCCCAGTTTGTTCTCTGAGTTAGTGTTTATGGGGGAAGGAGCAGGAGGTTGACTGCCACCCCCATACAGGCCTGTGACATGGTTGCCATCTTTACCAGCCAAAACAGTCTGACCCAGGACATGGGGTTGAACACTGCGGGCCAACCCCAGAGCCCGGAGCATTCTGACTGGGAACCTTGGGGTCAGCTGCTCAAAGGTGGGAGGGAGGCTTTCTAGCGAGGCAGCTGGCAGAGCTGCAGGTATGGCACTGGGCCTTTCCCAGCCTGGCAGTGCTCAATAATGGGATGTGGAGCGGAGTCTTAGGACTGGGGGAGCTACAGCAGCAGCCCTGTGGCTGGTGACAGGGCTGCGTGGAGCTGTGTGGATGAGTATTTACAAGTTCTTGCCGGGTAACTCCGAAAGCGGCAGTGGCACTTCAAGGATTGCTTGGCCTCCCCTACAAATGGAAAATGTTTGAATGAGGCTGTTGGCAGGGGTGATGCTGGTGACAGCCATGGAGCAAATAAAGGAAATCTGATGCTTGCTCCGCAGTCCTTTCTCTCCAAGGCAGCCTCACAGTGAGGGAGCCTGGGAAAGGAAGAGCCAGAGAGCAGTTGCCAATCATAGGTCTTTGTCAGGCTGCCCTCAAGCTAGTTGCAACATAAAGATCTGGTCCCTGCGTCTGCTGATCTCTACCAAATAGCAATGTAAAACATCTTTCAACCACCCTCTGCCGGAGCTGAGTGCGTGATGGATTCTGTAGCTAATTCCCAGAGACGTTCTGCCCCTCCACTCCTGGCTCATCTCCATGTGGAGGTTGCTGGTGTAGCATCCAGCATGAATTTGTGCTGGCGTGACCAGCTATGGGCAGAGGTTCTGATTTCAACCAAGCTCTCTTAGGGGCAGAGGACTGCAAGAGACCTCTGAAGTTATCAACCCTTACTGTGATGAGCAGCTGCATCCAAGTGGCAAAGTCAATCTTGTTTGCAAACATACCCAGCTATAGGTCTCAAAGGCAATTAGGATTTTGGACCCCACTATTCCTATTGAGAGGCTGAGCCAGAACCTTGCTGCTCTTATGGTTAGAAACCTGCTAATTCTCATCTTAAATCTATTCAGGGACAGTTTATACCCATGTGTGCTTGTGCCAGCATTGCCTTTTAGCTTAAATAGCATTTGTCTCTCCTGGTTTGTTTACCCCACTGATGTATTTATAGACAGCAATCATCTCCCCTCTCTGCCTCTCGGTTGCTAAGCTAAATCTCTAGCAATTTAGTTGAGTTCACTGTGAAGCAGTTCATACCAAGCTGAAACAAGCTCCTCCTAAACCCAAATTACAGTATTTACATGGGGACTTGCACTGGTTTCAGTCACAGCTTAAATGAAACTGGTGTGGTTTGCTCAGGTGGGCTTGGCTTTTGGCCACAGCTTGTGAGAAAAGGTTTATTGTGGGTGGGCTGAGATGCTTTTGCTGAAGTGGGGCTTTGGGGAGCAGAGCATTAGCTGGGGAGAAACAGTGCAGAGATCGGACTGTGGGCAATGTCACAACCGGAGCCTAATGCCTCGCTGCACCCTGGACTGTAGGAAGCATGCTGGGATTGACTGTCTGGTCTGTCTCACTGCCTGAACAGCTGGAGAGCTGAGACATGGCTGCAGGAGGCAACTCTAGGGTCCCACAGATTGGCCATATTGCAGAGATATTCCCTCACTCCTGAAGACAGCTGGGCTCCCCAGGCCACTTGTGTGTGAGGTCCCAGGCAGCAATGTCAGTGGTGCACACAGCTGCGGTTGGTTTGGGGTGAGGAGCTCAGGGTCCCATGGGGGTTTGTCACTGGGGAAGCCCATGAGGGGAGAAAAAGGACCTCCACCCCATGTTTGCAGCTGTCTACCCTGCAAATCATCTTTCTCTTTTTCTCCTGTTTGTTTATTTGCAATCTGCTTTCCGAGCCCTTTCTGGTGTCAGGTAAGAGATGCATCCTGCACCTGTTTTTCTGTGCCAGAGCGAGCATGGGTCTCTCCTCTGCTTTCACCCTTCCCTCTTCCCCCTGATCTTGCCAGATGCTCTGCGTGGTCCCCTTCCCAGGCGTCCCAAGGTAGGGGCTGCCTGCATGCATTGCTCTCATGCTGCCCCCTGGTGGGCCTGCTCTGTTTGACGGCCCATTCTCCGTCTGCAAAGATGGGGGCACTGGGGCCGCTTCTCTGCCCTCTGCTCCTGCAGCACCTCTCAGAGGAGGCTGCATCCACCCCACCAGAGGTTTACGAGTGGTTTGCATACACTGCTAGCACGGGCACAGGGCTGGCACAGGGAGGCTGAGCCTACTGGGGGCTCCTGTGAGGCAGCTTGGGCTGAGCACCTCCAAGAGGGTTAACAGAGGGTATGAGTGAGAGCAGCTGGTAGCTGGCAAGTCCAGGGAATGGAAGGGCTGCCCTGGTCTGTTGGTTTTTGTGTGTGTGCCTGAATGCCACAGGCAGGGAGGCTGCCTGGCAGGGATGGGGCCAAAGACAGCCATTTTGCATCACTGGGGACAAACCAGAAGCCCCAGGAGGGTCTTTGTCCTTAACCCTGGGTGCTGGGGAGCCTTCTCAGCCCTGGCCTTGCCCCAAGTGCCCTGTTCAAAAGAGAAGCCTGGCAGTGGTTAGAGGGAGCTGTATTGGTGCTGCCCTGTCCCCAAGGTATCTATCTTTCAGCTGCCTGATACAAGCTGGCGTGCTTTGCTCAGGCAGACCTGAGATGCAGGTACAGACCCAGCACAGGGCTTACAGAAGTGAAACTACTGCTAGAGAGAGTGTCATCCATCAGGTTCTGGAGCACTCTCCTCCTCTGGCCCTGAGAGCCCTTTTCTCAGGGCAGTAATTAGCCTTGAACCTATTCAGCAGATACCAAAAAAGAAACACAGTACTATTGTTCACCCAGCCAGGGCTCCAGCTCCTCCCGGTACTTCTGCCCAGCTAGTGCTCCCTCTTGGGTGCGTTGGCCTGTGCTGGATGACCCAGTCTAATGCTTCCACTCAAACCAGTGGCCCTGCTCAACCCAGTGGCCCCACTCATACCACTGCCTCTGCTCTTCTCTTCCAGTTGACCAAAGCATGTTTGAGAATTCCAATACCGCCCCCACACCAAAGCTGCAGCACAGCAAGTCCATCTCCAAAGCATCTCCCATGCCTCAGCCAGCCCAACCTACAGCTGCCGAGCCCAGCGGGGCCGGACTGCGAGTGGGAGGGAGCCAGCACCTCAGGAACCTGAGCAAGGCCGTGGGGGCGAAGGTGAATGACTTCCTCCGCAGAAAGGAGCCTACCAGCTTCGGAGACGTGGGCATGACGAAGATCAATGCCAACGTGGGGGCCGTGCTAGCAGGCGGGATGCACGCCCAGCTGGAGGACGAGGCTCACGAGGAAGGGTAAGTTTCCTCTGCGGGTGCTGCTGTCCTTGTGTCTGCTGACCCTCAAAGGCCATGGTGAATGATGTTACTACAGGGCCATGTTATACAGCCACCCTGCCAGGGAACAGCCGTCACTTCAGTTGGCCTGTAATGCACTACACAATTTCCCACCTGCCCAAGCCCTCTCCTGCTCCCCCAGCCTTGTCTGCACACAGGAATGCTCAGGAAAAAATTAATCTGGATTAACTCCAGGTATGACTTGGAAGTGAAGTAATGAAACTACATAAAATCACTTTTGTAGATTCTTTTATTCTGAATTACTAATAAATTTGGCCTGGAAGTGAAGTAAAAGCCAGTAGGCCCTTGTTTGTCTGTTCCCCATTTATATGACCACTCCAATTAGAGGAATTCCCAGCCTGTTGATGAGGAATACAAGAAAGCAAATGGCCACAGATTGTGCAGTGTCTGAGTATATGCAGGTAGAGCTGAATCCTTTCCTGTGCTAGGTTGTATAACAATGTAGTTATAATGTTGCTGGATTGAGGTGCTGTGGTCTTATTTCTTTTTTTTCCCTTTGACCTTTAGGTGCTATTCTTTATTCCAGACGTCTCATATACACGAACACTCCATATAGATGAACAGGGGAGGGCTCCTTGCAGTTTGGTTGAGCAAGGGTCTCCTGCACCTGATTTACATCAGGAATTCTGAACCTTTTTTGGCATAAGACACCCCTTGGAAAATGCCAGCTCTAAGCTTTCACTTGTTTTTGAGACTCTGTAAAAATAATAGGACAATTCTTCTCTTGCAAAAAACTGAGAGAGATCACAACAGGTCTGAATGTTTTTGACATCCTGGATTCCTATTTGAAATCTCTGGGTTTATTTTGTGAATCATGTGTCGGTGTTTGTACACCTAACAGTGCTAATATTGCACAGAACCCATAAAAGGATCTCATGGCACCCCAGTGCACTGCAGCACCCCAGTTGAAAAATCACTGATTTAAGACCGCTTCCGTTTGGAATTGTAGGGTATGTCTACCACCATGACATGGCCTGGCTGGATTGTTTCTAAGCCTACCCAGCCTATCCATTCCTGCACACATTTCAAACACAGGAATACAATTCCTGCAGCTGCTAATAAGCACAGTATGTATTTCTGGGTTTAGAGCATTTGAAGGGGGTAGGTGTGATCAGTCGTGTCCTGGCTAAGGCATGCTGCCACCACAGTGTAAACATATCCCGTGTCCACACACTGTTTAATGCAGTTTAGCTAATCCACTGTAAACGTTAATTCAGCTGAGCTTTCCTAAGAGTTCCCATGTAAACTAGCCCAATGTTCCACTCCTCCTCACCCTGCATTTCACCCCTATGTCCCAGGTGTCTGCCCTCTCCTGCTTCAGCTTCTCCTGGCCCCATCTGCCCAGCTGCTCCACTTGCTAGAGTAGTTAAGGCTACAGAAAGACTGCCAGGGAGTGCTTCTGCTGCAAGCTGCTCGGGCACAGTTAGTGCCCAGCTCAGCAGAGATTCCCTGGAGGGCCATGCTCAGGGACAGTGCCTCAACACATGGCAGGATGCATTGAATCAGGGAAGAAATGTCCCTTAAGAAAGGGAACTGCAAGTATGTTGCTCCAAGCACAGCACATGGCTGGAACTCTCTGAGGACAGGTACAAGTCCTCTCCCTTTAGGCCTCATCTTTAGACTGAGACTGCTGCAAGAGTTGTTTCTACCTTGGTACTCAGCACCATCACTCTGTGCAGTCTGTGGCAGAGCTGTGAAACAGGGCAGTGTTATTCTCCCTCCCAGCTTGAGGGGAGCTGAGACAGGCAGAGGCTGACTGACCTGCCCAAAGTTGTGCAGGGAGTCAGTGGCAAGGTAGTAAATGGAACTGCCTACCCTAAGCTGGTACCCTAACCATTGGGCAATCCTTTCCGTGTCATAGCACTTGGCTGATGAGGTGTCTTGATACTGCAGCGGGGCCACAGACTCTGTCTGTCCTCACGAGAGTGTGCTGGCTCAGCCTTCAGCTGAGAGATGCCACAGTGAATGTTGTGGCTGGGACAACAGCACCTCTGCCCATTCAAATCAAGGCAGAGCCCCTTTGCGGTGGGAGCAGGGGCATTGTGCTGTGGGGGATGTTTGGACTTTTTAATAAGGCATCAAGCCAAAACCCTGCCCTTATTAAATATCCCAAAGCCCTTTCAGGATGGGGTGCCAAATTCCACTGAGAAACTGCATTTCATGCACTCTTTGCAGCATCACTCAGGCATCGTATTCTGCTTCAGCCCTGTCCCAAGTACCTGTTGGGTGCCGCATGACAGTATGATATGCCTGCATTTTGCTGCTGACTGGTGCTTCCTTTTGGAGGGGCTTTGGGGCAGGTTGAAGTGGGAGAGATGCTCACTGATGGTTCATTGTGCTTACAGGCTTGTGCTGCTGGAAGCCTTTCCCCGCCTTGACCCACCTCCCCCTGTGACCAAGAAGCGCACTCCCCGGGCTCTCAAGACCCCCCAGGACATGCTTATTTCCACCCAGCCAGTTGTGAGCAGCCTGGATGGCACCGTGAAAACAGCACCTGAGCAAAGCCAAGAGTATCTCGACCAAGCAGCCCACGTGGAGGAGTGGAAGGTGGCATGGGATGTGCCTCAGCCAGAGGGCAATGCTGAGCAGAGCGACCCTGGCAGAGTAGTGCAAAATGGAGATGAGCCCAACCACAATGGCGCCTTCCCTGTGCCTGACCTCATCTACAAGGATAACCTGGAGGGCAAATTGAAGGCTGCTGACAAAATAGCAGCCTCTCCTCCCTGCCCAGAGAAACCTTCCCTCAGACTTAGCCTCACTCCTGCCAACCACCTGCATGAGTACCAGCCCCACGAGGGCAACGGCCAGCCTGAGGCACAGACCTCTGGCCTGGAAAATGAGGGACCCCACCCAGACCTCCTGTCCTTTGAGTAGCTGCCCTGGGGTCTGGGGGAAGCATGCGGACTATCCTCAGGGGGGCAGCTCAGCAGAACTGGCAGGAGCATACTGCCCACTCTGTGCAAGGGAACCTGGGCAGCATGGAAGGACCAGGGCACTATGCAGGCCTGGAGCCACAACTTGTCTCTTTTGGCGCTAGTGGCTCCTACATGGAGCAGAAGGAAAGACAGGAGGCCAGGGGCAGCCATTGTGCCACTTCCTGCCTTGTGCAGTGCAACCTGCAGGCACTCTCATCTTCAATATGCAGGCTTAGCTCTTAGACACCACAGGTCCCAGTACGGCACTATCTTTTGCACAATGTGATAAGCAGTTTCTGTGGACTTCAGCTCCAGGCCAAAGATGAAGCTGCCTGCAAGCTGCTGCATTGCGCAGTAAGGGGCTGCCATTGTGTCCTGGCCAGCGTGATTCCTAGTTAGACATCTTTTGTGCCAGCATCAATGATCAAGGATCAGTGCCAGCATCAATGATGTTTCCTACAGAGATGTGGCCAGGGGGGGCACTCCTTTAATCATTAGCACAAGACAAAAGCTGCCCTAGTAGCACCTGGCCAGGGAGTCTGAATGCTCCCAGAGAGGGGTACACATGTAGAGAGAGATTTTTGGATGATTGAATTTTCATGGTAGAGAGGAAAGCTGGTGGCTGGGTCTGCTGCATATCTGCACCTCAGAGGAGCTAGAAGAAGGAGTCAAATAATGTAGTGGAGGGGACAGAGGTCTCGTCATTAGAAACTACTGGTACTAGCGCTTGAACATCTTGTGCTCTGTTTCCATCTATGCCACTGATTCCTTCTATGACCTTGGCCCTGCTCCCTGTTTTATAATGTCATGGTACATCAGCTGGCTGGGGTGTGCTGCGGCTAAATTCTTCAGTGCCTGTATGTACAGTCCTGGACATTGTGAAGCATTCCAGGTGTGCTACATCTGTTGATTATGGCCTCAGTCTCCACTGTTGTAGCTCTGTCACTGCTGTTGGTTTCCTAATGTAATTTTCTCTGCAGGGTGGCTGCGTGCAGTAGGATAATCTCAATCCATGCCTTGGTGAAACTCTAGACTGTCCCTTCACACCTTTTGTCACCCTTCCCTGCCATGCAACCTCCTGTCCTGAAGCCTGCCTTTTGTCAGGCTAAAGCTAGACTTGGGCCCCATGTTTAGGATAAGTCATCGCTGCAGAGTTAACTTGGGTCATCCGCACCCAGGGACAAGTACCCAGTTGGCTATGTTCCAGAAGTGACCAGCCACCCTACCCCATTCCTGTGTCTTGCCTGTTGCCACAATCACCTGGCTATCTCGCTAGGACCTGCTGCCACACTTACTTAGCTATCTCTCTGGGACTGATTGGGACACATGCCATGGTCCTTTGCCACGCAGGAAAGCTGAGTCATTCTGTGATTCTTTCCTTGTAGGTTTGGTCAGACAGAGAAATGTGGGAAGTCCTTGAAGGGTACCAGTGATTCAGCATGGTGTCCTCACTGCAAAACCAAAGGGGAGGCGGTGAGGGGTGGGGGGATACTAGGTGCAGAGAAAGTGGAGTGGGAGCTGTACCCCAGGCTCCCAGACCAGGCCAGCTCTGGGACCACTCTGCATTCGGGGGAAAGCATTCACCTAAGCTTATTCTGCAGTAAGGACATTGCCTTTGGAGTTTCAAGTAGTAGATGTGATTGTAAGAGATAGTATCTATGCAACAATTTTGCTTGTTTCATTTCAGAGCCAGCTAAGCAGGGCTCTGTATCCTGCTTTCTGAGAACAGGCATGGAGGAGGAGGAGGCTGAGGAGCAGGTTCACTGCAAGGACAGTGCAGCACTGTCTGGCTTTCAGCCTCATTGTACTGATGGAAGGGGCTCCTGAAATGCTGTGGATTCAGGCCTCATTTATTAGTTCACCTCTTACTCCACTGATGAGCTGGTGGGGTGAACATGTGCAGTTGTTTCAGCCCTGGGCCAGCCCTGATGGGGTGGTTGAATACTAATGTATATGACTTCCCCTCCTGGGATATCCCATGGCCTCAGAACAGAGGTTCTGGAAGACATTGGTTTAATTTTATTCCAGGCCTTATGCACTGATTCCCTCTGTTTTGTCCCTGGGTCTCCACTCCCCTGGGTTGGAAAGTCACCTGCAAAAAATACCAAGAGGCAAAACCCCAATCTCAGATTCTTAGCTGGTGAGAACTGATGCAACTCCATTGTCCTTCAGAAGGGTCACACTGATTGCATCTGGCTGCAGAGAGAGCTGTGGCCAAACTGGCATGGCTGCTACCAGTGGACGTTTCCCCTCACCACCTCACTTAGGGATGCTCCTTGCAGTAATGCCTTCCTGTCCAGACCCATTGAAATGTCTGTGTCCACTGCTGAGCTGATAGGATGGGGGCAATGACACCAATGAAGTGAACTATTTTGCACCATCCAAACCCACCTCATAGTCCTACCAACATATGGAGTGTCAACAGTATAGTTTGGACTCTGCATTAACATATGAGGGGGATGTGAGAATATTCCTGTGCCTTGAATTCCCTTGTAAAGGGACCACCTGAGAATGAATCATGCCTCTGAAAATTGTTTTGAGTCCAGTGAATGCTGATCTGTGCCATAGGATCCTGGATACAAAATGGTCATGTATATGTGTGTATATTTTGTATATGTCCAATGCTACCACACAAATAGAAATTATATATATATAAATATATATATATATATACGTACACTGCCTATATAAAACTATGTATAATGTATGTTAATCAGAAAACAGGAGCGTGTGTAATCTCCCCCTTTAGTGAAGGAGAGCGTTTCAGGGCACCAACATTTTGAAAAACAAAGTGATGCTAATGTGTGCCAAAAGCCTCTATTTATGTTAGTTAGGATGGATACAGAGTTCAGAATGAGCCATGCTGATTGCACAATAAAGATCCTTTATGTGTGTTGCAATGTGGGCTTCTCTAAAAAAATGGCGCTAGTTATGCATATGTAACATTGTTCTGCGGAGTAGGGGCTGTATGCTGCGGTCTCTAAGGTGCCACCCTGCCCTGAAGGACTGTGCATCCCCCAGGCTGGTGGGGATCCTAGGGAGCAATGGCTTTCGAGGCACCCCTCCAAAAACCCTGACTTCTAGTTTTCACTCGTTTTTTGTCTCCTGAAAAATACTGGAGAAATTTTCCTATGGCAACAAACCCAGAGACCGCAGCAGGGACGAATACTTTTAACACCACAGATTTCTACTGGCGATCTCCGCGTGTATTTGATGAATCACGTCTGCATGCAGCGCTAATAGTGCGTGGCACCCCGCACCACCCTTACGAAGATCTCGGGGCACCCCAGGGTGCCGCAGCCCCTTGCTTGAGACACGGCGGGGTTATAACGGGGTGCGGCGACGGCGCAGCAGAGGGCGGGGCTGTGGGTGCGGGGTGGCAGTGGAGGGCAGACACCCCGCTGGGGGCTCCCGGGCCCGGGGGGAGAAGGGGTGCACGAAGAGGGAAGTCCCTCCCCGGAGCCCTGCGCTCCGCTTCAGGCGGGGGCCGCGCTGCTCGAGGGAGCCTGCCGCGGACAGCGAGGGGCTGGTCTCTTCCGCGGACTCGAGCTGCGGCGACGCCGGGCGGGGAGGAAGAGGGCTCCCAGTGGGGGCGGGGCCGGCGGGGAGGCAGGGCGGGG